ACGACGGTGATGGGACGGGAAGACAATGTTTTAATTTCCGTTATTTCGTTATTCAGGACTGCACGAGCAGCTCGAAAGCTTACGCGGATCTATACACCTACAACCTGCACATCACACACACTTACGCGTACATTCACACACATGCGTGCGAGCCCTTTAAATGGATGTTTTTTGCCGGACGTTATTGCGGGGAACGAGGGGTAAGTCGTCAGTACATTATAACGATTATAAATTTAACGTTTCCGAGCATGTGTTAAGTTCGCCGCACAATGCCGTGAGAAAATCTGAATTGAAAACACTTCTTCCGTACACTTGGTACTTTGTCGTAGGGCGTGTTACCACACACCCGGGAGGAGTGACAGTGCGGTCGCCTAATCCGTCGTCGTTGACGTAAGAGAGATTAAATGTACATTCTAATCTCGCTAATGCGCGTGTTAATGGGATAAAATTCTATTAAGCGGACAGTCGCCTTTACGGACCTCATGGTGGACGGTCATTTTAGCGTGAAAAAGGGCAAGTACGAAAATCTCGACTGAAATTTCGCCGAAATTTATTCCGAGTATCGGGGTTATAATTTTATTGAAGTTTCAAACTGAACGAAGTTAAGCCTGCGCACCTAATCTCGATTGAGCCGGAGCATTAGTGCATGAAAATTACATTGACACATTTACTTTTATTCCGAAGCTGTAGCTAAAAGCTCAGCTCTCGATCTCGATGCACTATCAACGTGCCGATTTTCCGTACTATTGCAATCCTCCAAAAAATCATACATACGACAAAGTATCGTATACGTTAACACTGAGAGAGAGGCAGGAATGTGTGATATTTGGAACTATAATGGAGCACAGTTAAAAAGTTATAGTCAAAAAAACTATAAATGTAGTAAATATTATTACAATGTAGGTTACGACACAGACAATACACAATGTAACCAACTTTGTATCTGTATGTGTGTACATGTATATCCAAGAATCATGTGTTATAATAGAAAATCAGTTACACGTATACACGGATTGTCGGACTCGAGATGAATGAAATAAACGAGTGGTATCAATAGGCAATATCGAGCACGCGCCGATATCGCCGAACGCTGATTAAATATCGGTACGAATTTAGCGGCGACCGCAAACAATCCACGCGGAAACATCATCAAAGTACTGTCGCTGAATATCGATGGAAACGTTCATGTAACGAGGTCGAGCATTCTCAACCCAGCATTATTCAGTTTACAGCTAGCGATAGACCTCCACCCCCCTCCCCCCTTTCTTCTTCCCCCCATCGCCGTACTTTATTCTTTCGCATAATGTTGTTGCGTAGCGCGAAAATTGCAATCTCTAGAATATCAAAATGCATGCGAGAATAGCCGCGAGGCGCGATAGTTGATCGTGAAATGCATGATCTGCCGCGCGAGATGACACAACTGAGAAAAGGATTTCTTCAAATTTGATAAATCTTATTGCATCCAAACACAAATTTCATCATTGGCGTGAATCCGAAGGAACTAATGTTTCGATTAATAAATACGATTGTTAGACTTTTCAACGAATACGAATATCTATATTTTAAATAAAAACATTCGAAACGAAAGATAATTTAATAATAATTTCTTATAAGAAAATTAATCGTTTCATTTTACATATTTATTGTAACCAGATAATCTTTATTTGGTTAAAAAATATTACTTAAAATAATAACGTTCTTTCTGTTAAATAATAGAGTTTTCTTGAATGAGACGATAAAATTCCTACTCAAACAAATAATATTGTATATCTTGTTTTTGTGAAACAAATTTTAGTCAGATAAAAATGCTAAATTTAAAGAAATCTTTTTCTCTGTGTATAACGAGTAAATATGTTAAAAATAACGAATAAATATGTTAAAAATAGCAATAAACAATATCACATAAGTACACGTATGATAATGAAATACAGTTTGAGCAGATTACTGAGAAATCATACTATATAAGTGCAAATAGTCGAATGTGATGTCAGCCGACGATGACAAGTGACCTACGTTTCCCCTTCGGAAAATATTCGAGGGAAAAACTCGACGGTGGGAAATGCATACGGACGGAAAATCAACAAAAGGGAATAAGAAGGCGATTTTATTATTATTATTGCGGAAACCGGTTATTATTTGACCCTCTTATCCTACCGAGCTAACTAAACGATTATTCTTGCGCGTAGCCGTTCCTAAGAAAATAGAAAATATTTCGCGTACAGTGTTATTTCTGTCGTGCGAGCACGCTAATTCATTTATGCTCACGCGATAAAATCGCGCTGCGGATTTTTGAAAACACGAACCTCCATTAATATCACCACGGAGTGGGCAAATACGAAATCGAAATGCAAGGTCGCGATCGCGGTGATTTTATTTCTTTTTGCATTGGGCCGCGATGTTTCCCCCATTTTTTCTTCAAATATCAGAAAAGCGAGGGTTTACGAAACCGACGTTCGATTAATGTATTGGCCGAGAGAATAAAACACATAACGGCGTAATTAAAGGAAGTTCATTTCTCTCCTTAAATTTGAGCAAGGAGGTACAATTGTGAAAATCATAGAAATAGAAAAATGTAATCGATAAAATCTACGTTCCACAAGAAAGCTACAGTACATGTTCAGTAATTAAATATCAAAGTGTTAATAATGTTTCATGAAAAACGAACGTAATGAAAATCAATTTCATCACCGGAGCGTCGACGTTTGCGTCGGTTAATTCTGGCGTCTCGATTACGTTATTAGGTAAGACATTTTTTTCCGAATGAAAATGATAATAAAAGTGAACATTTTTGTTCCCATCATCTGACTGAAATCCTAACTGAAACGCCCATAACGAACCAGATGGAGATTACATCTTTCCTCAAAGTTCAAAGATACGGTCGCTCGCTAGACACGAGGATCAAAAAATATCGGATCGGGCGAGGAGACTCGTCCATTGCGATAGAAACTGCATTATAAGTTTAAAATCCCAACGGAAAAGCGCGTATGGAGACCTGTTGATCACGACGACGATACGAGATTCGATAAAACGTTCGAAAAGTCTCACGATGGACACGCATACACACACACCCTGCCTTGAAAAGCGAGAGAGGCTATTTCTCGCTATCTCTCGCTACTGTTACAAACGAGTACCCGTGTCAAAATATCGAAAGCGCGAAGTGTGCGGCTCTCGCGAAGTGAGCATCCGCTGCACGAAGAAATTTCGTCCGATTTTCGCAACGTGTCGAAATCTTTCCCACGGAAACGAGATATGGAAAGAATTTACACCCGGCGGGGGAGGACAGCGATGCAGAGAGTGTCGAAGATTCGCGCGTTTTATCGATGCCATTTGCGCCGCGGCGGCAGCTTTTGTCCGGCCTCTTTTTCCGCATCGAAGATCGTCGATGGTCGGACTCCGCGCGCAATCGATCGCGAACGCTAGAGGGAACATTCGTGGCTGGGCTTTCCCATTTCCCGGCAATTTCCGGGATGGAGCATGATCGATCATGAAACTTTCTCCCTCTCTCTCTCTCTCTCTCTCTTTGTGTCTCTTCACGAGTAGCGTAGCGTGCAGAATTCTCAGTTCTTCGCCGGTTTAATTCGTATCCAAAGGTGAAGGTCGGTACGTCGTTATAGGTAGGAACGCGAACAATCGATTTTCTCGTTTTCCGTTAGCGGGATGAAATTTCTAAAATTTCTAAAATCGCGCGCTACAAACGTCGAGAGACTAGCGCTATAAACGTCGAAAACTCACACGCGGGAGAATCGCGAAAATTCGCCGAGCGAAGAACGAGATTGCGAGACAGAGAGAGTGGGAGAGAGAGGAAGAGAGTAGAGTAGAATAAATTTTACCTTTAGGGTCGTATTCTTTAGAATTACAAAAATGATTCGAAAAATTTAAAAAATTGTTGGCAGGAGAGAGAAAGAAAGACAGAAAAAGAGAGAGGGGGGAGGGGCTCGCAAGTTCATTGGGTATTCCGGCGGTATCGCCCTCAATGTAAAGGCACACCGATTAGACCCGTGGTGCGCGAGAGCCGCGTGGAATCGACGACGCGCCGAAAAAGGCAACGGATAAAAATTGGTGGATGTAGGGGAGACGTGACCGGCGTAACTTGCGAAGCGGCGAGTTTCCCCGACTGCCCGATTCTTGAGATAAACCGCACCGTACATTTTTGCGAGATGTATAAAGTGCGAGACCACGGGGCATAGATCGACGGAGGAGAGTGGAGAAACTGGAAACTTCGACAGGCACAAAATTGCAAAAAAAGAGTAAAGTAATAATCGGCGGAAAATACGCGCGGGAAGTGTGCAAAGTATGCGCCATTAGCGCGGATTATCCAATCGCGAAGTATCTTCAATTCTGGCGGCGCAGTTCGCCCCCGGCTCTTGCGAGAATATCGCGAGGGAAGGAAAAAAGAGGACGCGAGTTACATTAATCCCGTTACAAACTGCTGGGATTAAATTCTTTTTAGCCGAGACTCACGATTGCGAGCGAAACGGCGCGACGTGACAAATAAACAAGTGACAAACGATTAATTAAGCGGAAGGTAACGNGGGGGGGGGGGGCGGTCGGAATGATAATTCACAGAGAATAATTAAGCCGTGATTCATTAAATTAGTTGAATTGCTCCGGAAATAATTAAACGATGACCGGAACACGCGAGGACAAGTGATACACGAATGTATCTGTAATAAAACTGCCGACGAGAGAGAGAGAAATAGATGAGGAGAGGACGCGAGTTCATTCTAATATATCGCTTATGTATATCACGAGGATTATATACACATGAATATTTATGTCGGTGTCGCACGCGCCATTAACGCGTTATCCCGATATTTTCGTACCTGACAAAAAGGATTCCGCGCAGGTATCGGAAATTTTCTTCTCGTTCCTTTCCTCTCTCGCTGTTCTTTTCCCTTTTCTTTTTTAATCACACCTCTTTTTGCCAATCTCCGTAATATCGGGATACAATAAATAGACTAGCTTGGCCACAGTCGATCACAGTCTTAGTTGTGACTCACCTGTAGGTGATGAAGGCGAACACCAGAGCCACCAGGGACAGGCTTCCCCCGAGGACGACGATGAGGCTCAGCACGCCGTCCTGGTCGAAGGAACTGGCGATACCGGTGGAAACGCCGTTGGCCATTCCGCCGGGCTGTGGAAAGCCGTGAATCGCGCCGGTGTAGAGCGTCTCCATGTCGCCGTTATGCCAACATCTATAACAGTAAATTCAATCGCGGCCGACTCAGCGCGTATATTCAAATATAAACGGTCAGATATTAAAGGGAAACAAGGAAGATATAATTTATGTACACGAGAGAGAGAGAGAGAGAGAGAGAAAGGGGGTAAGTTCAGCAACCATCCGTTTTCTTGGATTTTCAATTACGCGTTGAATTAAGGGAACAATAAAAAAAGCAGCAGTCGAGCGGCGGCGGCGAGCGAGTTTAATTAATTTGAGCGAAATTAATGCGCCGAGAGTAATGGCGCGAATCTACCTTTACCGTTTGCCCGCCGGCGCTCGCTCGGATTGAACCGAAGGGGAAAAAGAAATGAATAAAAGTCCACCGCGCGATCCCGGCAAGCGGGAGACTCTATCTTGGCTTATCATCGCGCGATTTCGGCGGGTAAGTTACGCGGGTCAGTAACTCTGCGGCCGGGCACTCGCAACTCGAAGCAAGTATCGGAGATCGTTCCGTTACCGGAGCAGGGACACAGCTGGTTGTGTGTCACACTCGGAACGTTTCCTCGTATTACCGCTTATATCGCTCGCTCCGCGATATCAGAATATCCCGGGTGTAAATCTTCGTGGCCGGCTTACTGAAATTCAGACACGAGTACTCTCTAAAAGCGGGATATTCAAGCGATGCGTTGTTGTTGAAGAAAAAAGCAGAGAAATTGAGAGTCGCAAGTGCACTGAGAGAAAAAGATTTCTTCGAGTTTAATCGATTTTATCGCATCCGAACAAATGTCATCATTGCTCCAAAAAGGAAACTAATGATAAGTACGACCGTTAGACCTTTCAACGAATATGTATCTTTATTTTGAATAAAATAAGATCGTCTTGAAAGATGTTTCTTGATGAGAATTATTTTCCTCCGAGAATACTCTCACCGACATCGGTGAAATACACTTTACGCTGATTTAATCCGAAACGTTCTCTCCGATTCGCTTTAAGAAAGTATCGCGCGCATTCTCGCGCGAGAACAAAGCGAATAAAGCCACCTCCTTGAATCGTGCGAAAAGTCAGGATAACACGGGTGACTATGAAAAGAAACGACTATTGTGCTAACTACTAATGAGAGAAAGAGGGAAAATTGACAAATGCTTCGTCATTTAATTCGCGTTTCTCACGACGAGCGAAAAGTTAGCGGGAGAAATTCACAGTTTCGCGCGGGCGCGCTCGATGTCTGCCGAAAAATCGGCGAAACTTCGCGACTGTTGGCGCGCGGGAAAAAACCCGGACGACGAGTTAATTCGATCGCAACAATTAATTCAGCCTGCGCGGAAAGTCCCCCGACCAGAGCCAAGTTTACGACGTTCGTAACGCTCGTAAGTTTCGATCAGTGGTAGAAACAATTAGCGCCCGACGTACTGCGAGCGTCGTCTCGCCGACGATTCTCCGCAAATTGCAAGCCGGAGCAATGCAAACCACGATCTCGACGTCAACCGACTGTAGAAGCTGGCAACCGCCGGACTTGAATCAATTTGCTCCGCTGCTTAGGACGGGTGGGCGCGCGTGTCGGATTAAGGCGTTGCCCGTATTGTTATTGTTCTACGCGAATGTACGATCGGACGCGATACTGCTCGCAACTAAGCCGCCATAACATGACGTTGAGTGACACGAAGTCTACGCATATGCGGCGACCTTTATTCTCATCCTTTTGCGAAACTCATCGTCACACGCAAATTCGTAGGAGAAACAGGTTGTATTCTTTTCAAGCGCTGAATCTATAAGATAAATTAATAGCTATTGTCACCTTGAATATCTCTAAAAATAGCATATAAAATAATATATATAAAAGCAGGGGAGAAACTTATCTAAAACAGAAATTGCATTAACGCCCATAACGCCCAAAGCGCATTAAAATTAAAAGTTGCAATAGTTATTACGTCACTTTATGTACGATGAAGGACTTTTTATATAATTATACTTTAATAATCGAGGATATTTTGTTTGAAAAGTGACACATTAATCGGACGATGAATGCGTCATCGTAATAAACACGTTGGAAAATCGAGCGTTTTTTGCTCGCTTCGCGATCATGTCGTTTCGTTCGTGGCGAGCGAGTTTATGCATCGTGGCAAAATTGGTCGGTCCGTTACTTTGGTTTCGGCGTGTGAATTTATAATTTATGCGAATGTGCAAATTTCAACGGCGGAAAATACGCGCCGTGGAACGTACACAGTATATGCATAGCAATGTTGGCCGATCAAACGTAATTAACTTGTTAATTGTGAGCGCAATATTTGCATTGTCAACTTCGAGCGACAATATATGCGGGCAAAAGTTTTCATCGTGGCGAGGTCGATCGATCTTTTTCACCAACCAGCTCTCTCTCTCTCTCTCTCTCTCTAGCAAATGTAATGTTTAAACTGATAATAATTCACGCACGCACACACACACACACATATAGCGCTTTTCCAAATAGCCCGCAAACTTCAATTGAATCAAGTTGTAATTATCGGTAAAGTAATTGTAGATTAAATTGGAACGTTACCCGATAAGACAATATTTCTTTCTTTCTCTCTTTCTCTCCCTTTCCTGTTACTGTTGTTAAATCACACTCTACGCTTTCGATTTTTCACTTTGCACGACGAACGCACGGAGGTCAGAGGGCTTTATGTGTAACACGGGTTTCCTCTTTATGACAATGCGTCTTACAATAAAGATTCATCGCATATCTTGAGAACCTCCACGATCGTATCGGTCCCCTGGGAGGGACCGTATTACGCCAGCGAAAAGGTTACCAGCAACGTTAACGGACTTCGCCCTTATCCGAGATTCACGACGCGCCGTAAAAGCGCGCGAAAACTGCGCTCCTCGTTCACACGGGATCGACTTTCAGCGACGCGCGTTAAAAGAGTTACGCGCATTGATAATTTATACGCTCTAATGGAAACGAAAATATTCGAGCGAAAAATTATTACCAACGAACAAATAATTCATGGTTATTTATTAGGAAAAAAATATCTTTCTCTAAAAAAAATAGAGGTCGTGCGAAAATATTTTTCGGACAAAAGTTGCTTGTTTTTTTTTACGTGAAATAAAATTCCGTAATAAAAAAAAAAAGTATAGGTTTCCGTTTAAAAGAATAAAATTGCTCTTGAATTTTTTATCCAAGATAAAGATGCTTATTCGCCGAAAAGTCTAACAATCGTACTTATTAATCGAAACATTAGTTTACTCGGTGCACGCCGATGACGAGATTTGTTTAGATGCGATAAAATTGATTAAATCTAAAGAAATCTTTTTCTCAGTACATGCGGTGTATATATTTTTCTGTATGTGCGGGTACTACGAGACGCGGGAGGGAGGGGGGGGGGGAGGGTCATTTCGTTCGGTAAACGCTTCGAGCAAGGCATATCTCTGGCATCGCGCGATGACGTCGTACGATCGCACGAGCGATCGATCGCACAAACGTGCGAAATGGGACATGTCGTGCTAATTGCGCCAGTTAGCACCAGTTGCCGACAATTGCGTACTACGTAATATCGCTTAATGATCACTCGGCGGTTGCGAATATCGAGCGTGACCGGGGAATCGGTTATCATTCGCGCGGTCGAAGCGCGCATATGTTAAAATTACTCATCACACAGGTGAGTAATTCCGCGTTTATCCCGGAGGCGCACACTCGCGAGCGATGTACGGCCGGTTGCCGATATATCCGCTCGCTTGTTCCGCATTGTTCTCCCTCTATTTTTCCCTCCCCCGCAAAAATGAGGGGGAAACCCCGATCGAGCGCGTTCTCGAAATTTTCCGCGGTATTTCCGGATCGGCCGGCATATATATTTATAACGCGAATCTCGGCCAGAGGACCGACGGATGCGTGGATGGCTTCGATATCGGGCTGCATAATTCTCCCTTGCGAGGAATACCCGACGACGCAATACGGTCTTTAAACGGAAAAGTGCCAAGTTTCTGGCACATCTCCGATAAGTGGGCCGAAATCACCACGCCTTGAGATTACGCCCGTGTAATTTTGTTCGTGAAAAGAACAAACAAAAACAGGTAAGTGCGGCTGATAACGTCGATGTTGACGTATCTACCTGGTTGGTTGTGTGGTCGATCAAGCAGTGCGGATATTCGTCGCCGGAGGGAGGAATTTTGTTAGACTAAGCACGGATCTACAATAGGCGCAGTGAGCCCTCAGTTTTTTTGTTGTAAGCAATACATTGGAAAACGAGTTTGGTTGAATCTGACAATGGACAACCGGACAACACATTTTTGAAACAAACACGTTTTGAAAACAGAATTCTGGAACAGGATTTCTGATTATAAGAACGAAATTTGGTTCATAAAAACTAGAAGTTTTATTTTTTTCAACCATAAACGTGTTTGGTCTAATGTTGAGGAAGCCCAATCTAATGTTTAGAAAAAGCTCAATTTCTTATCAAATTTGCCAAGACATTTGTATGTTAAATAAATTATCTACGAATCGATCTTGACAGATGCACTCGTGCGGACGCTCGTTAATTGACTTTTAATCCTCGTTACTACGTCACAGCGCAAAAAGTGGGAAATAATCGTATAACCGACCCGATATCGTTTCAGCACGAATATCGAAATATGTTGACACCAAGCTTATATAATTCAATACGTCGAGCGCGAATTAACGCGTTTAATGCCGCAAAATCGCAAATGCGAAAACTTCGCGTTCGACGTGGCGAGCGAATAAACGCGATTTTCCACAAATATCCCCGACATTTCATTTGATCCCTTCTTTATCATCGTTGCACGTAACTCACCGCATACAAGCGGTTACAATCCACACATTCATCTCCCAATGAACAATATATAATCACCAGTGTTTGCTGATATCCAAATAAAGTTATATAAATAATCAATACAGTTGAATAAATAGATAATCTTTATCTTTGTCTAGATAGAAGAAATATAGAATATATACATTTTCATCTCATCTGAGATGAATTTTTCAGATTTTCACCTCATCTTCATTTAGATGAATCTGAAATCATCGAAGGCAAACATTGATAATCACGCGCACGTGAACAACGCTCGAGAATGCGTGTCGCGAAAATGCAGCTGGAAAAATGTCACTCACCTCTCGCAGACGACGTCGTCGAGATGTCAGGTGAGCGTCGACGGACGGCCGCCTCGTCGGCTCGTTCACATTTCGCGGCACGGTGATAATCCACGTGACGAGCGCGGCGTGAGAGCCACGTGTCCACGAAATGATCGCTTCGCGTGCTCCAACGAGACTGGCTGGCACCGGCCGGTACCGGCTATGATGGTGCGCCGACGAGGGTGACTCCAGAGAGAGACGACTACGTTCTCGCCCGTGTTCTTCACTCGACGAGCGCGATGCTGAGAATAATCTGCCAGGCGTCGTTCGGATTCATCGCGCCGCACGCCTCTCGTCCTCTGCCGAGGTCGTCGTTCCCGACGCCCGAATGCGCCGAGAATCCTAAACAGAAATCGACGCGTCGTTTACCTCAAAGAGCGCTTTTGTGTGCCGGCAAGCGTAACCCTAAAGCTTGTTCTACAATGTGCTCTTTGCCTCTTCTGTTTCTTGCTCTCTATCTTTCTTTTGTAAGAACTTCTATTTACTTGTGGAAAAGAAAGACTTATGGGATAGAAAGCGAGAAAGAAGAGAGAGAGAGAAATATTGCAAACACATCTATATAATCGAAACGATCAAATTTAATCTGCATAGAAATGTAACATTAGAATTGCGATACAGAAATGTAAGAATCATTAAATGCAAGCATACAAATTAGAATATTATATAGGATATCTTACTTAAGACGTAACAGTAATTCTAATTCATATGCATAGATAATTATGTGAATTCTCTCATACATTATTCTTTTAATATAGAAAACTATGTTTGCACAGAAATACTTATATTAAGAAACATTAAAGAGATGTTCAAATTTACTTTGTCAATTAATTTCATCATTAAATGCTTGATCGAATTGAAGTTCACTAGCTATTTGGAGAAATACGAAGTATATTATTATCAGTTTAAAGGCGGCTTTTGGCAAAGTCCGCGGTCAGGCTAATCGATGAATCAGGATTGTGAGCTTACCGATCTCCAATTCTACAATTCGTCGTCTGCAACGATAATCGCAAAATTGATGCTTTCTATTTGTGTTCTGTGTATGAACAAAACATAGCTGGTGACACCTGACTGACAGCAATCGTGAATAGTCAATTAGCTCAATCGGACTTTAGCGAGAGCCACCTCAAAATTGCTATTGTTATATTAAAGCACGAGAGGGAAATGCGACAACGAAAGAGATCTAGTTTTTAGCCGAAGCGTTTAACCTAACCTAATCGAAGGTGGATCCCCGGCGCGATGAAAAATCAAACTATCGCTCCACTGGCGCCACAGATCGCGATCTCCGACGTAGATCGATGCATCGCCGTCAGATGGCAGATGGAGAGATCGGCGTCGTTGAAACGTTTGAATCGCGCGGTAATTTATGTCGATCGCAATCAACATGACGGGATGGAAAGGGAGGGGGGCTTGGATGAGATTTTAGGATGCGAAAATTTCGCCCTCTTCCCCCCCCCCCCCTGCTCGACCCATGCTCAATAATTCGAACGTAACAAGATTCGCTGCCGCATTCTCTCCGTTGTGGCCGAAACCGGAATATTCGTTAACGAGATCCAATTCGAACGACGAGTGCTGTAAAGCGCTTGTTGCTAAACTGACGCGATTGCGAGTTTCACGGTACGGTTTTCCGCTCCGAATCTCACGTTAACGGGATCGGGAAGCGCAAGTGGGATTTTACCGTGCTCTCCGTTTTTCTCCAAATCTGCGGATTCCGCGGAAACTCGCCGGCCAGCCTCCTCATCGGGTCCTCGTCGGCGGCATCTCTCGGAAGCTCGTCGTCTCCTTAGCCGTTAACGGTTAAATCAGCACTCGAGACGTGTCGTGTAATCGCTTTAAGTTTGTCCGACGATGCCGCGACACGATGTCATCACGCCGACGAGCGCGATTAGAGCCACGTTGGAATCGTTATAGGTGATGTTAGGTGGATTCGCGAACGAAGACCACCGCAGATCTTGTCGATCACGAGTCACGAATCACCGAGGAAGAAAATCGCGCGCGGAAGGAAATCGCGGCAGCAGACGCGCAACGGTTACGAACGCGACCGACCGCGGACCGCGACTGCAACGGACTAACTTGCGTGAACGCGCGCGCGGAAACGCGCATGTACATGGCGCGCAGCGTGTTGCGGCCTGTAGTTCGCCCGATTCAGCGGCACGAGAATCTTCCGTCCGCTTACGCGCGCTATTTCGCCGCATTATTGTCTTGCTCATCACTTGTTTTCATCTGTTATAAATCTTGTTTGGCTGAAAAGGATCAAGCAATTTGTTTATCGTCTTTCTTTTATGTTATTTTTGTAATGATTTTGTAATAAAATAAGCGAACACACATGAAAATTGCAAATTCGAAAGATTAATTCAAATTATTAAAGAAAATTCGTCGAGTGAAACGCGTTTAATAAGGGCTCGGTGAAACTTGTGCCGCGTATGCATTGTAAAATTACATATAATTATATATGATCATATATGATTATATGTAAGGCATCATATATAATTATGTGTGAAGTAATAATACAGTCATATATTTATATATGATTATGCGTAAATATATATGTGATTTCTTTTACACGTATGACGATATATATGTATACTATGTTGTCAAATGAAAGATGAGATATAACAGCAAATAGCGAAAAGTTATTATAAGTGACCTTTCTGATGCGCTATTGAAAATATTGCCTTACAATCTCTTTAAATTTTCTGAATTGTTTAAACTGTAAACCTGAAGTGAAATCAATAACTAAAGTCTCGATGAGAAGCTTGAGATCAAATCAATAACCAAATTTTGTTTAGCAATACGCGCTTCTCTTTAAAAAGCCGCCGAATCAACTTTGCGTACCATATTTGTTGAACGCCGTTCTATTGTTTCTTCAATTTCACCTATCCCAATTTTCCATACGGAATGTCAACAATTTTATAAAGGTAAATATGTATATGCGGAATTTCCTTTGCACGTTACATTGGTATTTACATGCTACAACTAGACGGAATATTTTGTCCCTTTAGATTGAGCAAAGGTAAACTGTGCATATGGAAAAGAGAGGAATAAACGAAACGTTCGAAACGGATTGCGCACCTACGCATGGAAAATAGAAAAAAAAAATATCCCATTGATCGGATTTACGAAATTTCTAAACTGAACTCCACTCGAAGCTCGTATAAAGTACTCCTCGTGTTCAAAAGGCAATCGAGCAAGTTACCGGAAACACGTTGAGGCGGAAGTTATTGAAAACTCGTAATGACAGATAACCGGAGATTTTCGAATTGGATTTAATCGATTTTTGCGATCGAGCTTTCGAACGTGAACATTTGAAGTTCAGAAGATAAAAATGGAACTATAAGGATGTTCGGTCACAATTATTACACTCGTGAGTATAATAGTAAAGAGGGTTTAATATTTCTTTCTCTCGACGACTTCTCTTTTTCNCCCCCCCCCCCCCCCCAACCATGATCGACAGATCACGTCGCGGAGCGAATTGCGAGAGGAAATATCCGCCTGCCACTTACGGGAGTGGAAAATTCGCGGTCATTCACGAGCAACGAGCCGAGATTAGATACCGCCGGGCGAAGAGGTGGACGACCATTGAGAGTTATGGTAATGGAACGAGGTGGATGACCCAATTTTGAAGGGACAAAAGGAACGGCCCCGTTGCGTCGGGACAAAGTGCCGACCTGGCCGCACGTCAGAACAGGGCCGGTCGGAAAAGAGAATCTCTGTCGATCCATCTCTCCCGCGACAAAGGTAGAAATTAAAAACTAACCGTAGAAATATCATAATATACGCGAATTAAGAATTAAGTCCTGGATACGCGCAGGACATATATTCCCTATAATATTCCCTATAATATTCCGCGTAATAATATTATTTAATACTAAGTTAATATTCTAGGCATATTCTTCGAATATTAGACGCAATATTCTAGCAATATTATTTAAGTAATATTTTTGGAATATTAATAGATGGTTATATGTCCATTTTTATAATAATATTAAAAAAATAATATTACTTAATGTTATTATAATATTATATTTTTTTTTAATATTCAATACCCTATATATATATA